GTGCACTATTATTTCCAACCAAAACCACAGCCAAAATTATTTGAGTTGCTGGATGATCCTATACCAGGAAAACTGAAAGGGTCCTGTTGTGTTGGCATATGCACAGACAGAGCCGCCACTGCCATGACTGGACGGCTGTCTGGTTGTAGGAGGTTGCACCTGAATGTGAGTCTGCGCATTGTCATTCACAGGGAAATACTGGCTAGCCGATACTTGCCACTGGAACTTAACAGCACATTGAATGATGTTAAAGATTTTAATCCATTAAAGCACATGCCCTGAACTTGCAGCTGTTCAAGCAGCCTTGTGAGGAGACGCCTTCCCTTATAGACAAAAATAAGATAGATTCCTGAAGGAAATCGCTGGCCAGAGTGTTTGAATTACAAGAGCTGCTGTAGAGATTTGTCAAAAAACAGATGAATCCAGCATGTCAATGCAAGAAGAAGATCAACTGCTGGAGATGGCAAATGACGGCGGCCTGAAAAGCATGCTCAAGACAACAGCTCGGCCGATGTTCTGTATTAAAGTTACAGAATACCCTGAGATCGCCACAACAGCACTGAAAACGTTGCCATTTCTGACATCCTATCTGTGTGATGCTGGGTTTTCCGCTGTGACAGCAACAAATACAAAATTACTGAGTAGACATGAGCAACACACTTCGGGTGTCATTGTCTCCAATTACCCCGAGATGGGACCATCTGGTTGCAGAGAAACAAGCTCAGACTCCCACTGATTCAGAATTATGGTGAGTTGTATTTTTCATGCACTTACTATTTGTTTTTGGGGCGTCTTTAAATGTTACCACAGTGACTAGAGGGTGTTAATGGGCAAAAAGATTGTGTAGCTCATACAGGGGATATGCTGTTTTAACAGAGCACCATCACAGCTTCTCTCCCACCGAATGTGTACAATGCTACTGCTTGAGTGGTGGTTCCAGGAAGTGGAGAAAATCCCGAAAATACCAAGAGCAATTTGGCTTAAAATTTCTAGAATGACGAGAGGCGGAGCCAAGTTGTCCAAGGTATATACACTCAATGATTTTAAGCCTTTTTATTAACCCAAAGCAATGACAGTAAAAAAACAAAAAAAAAAAAAACAAGCAGATATATTACTTCCTGTCCTATTTTTTTTTTTTTTTACAAGGGTATTAATACGATTGTAACATGCTGGATTGACTGTTTGGATTAGAAAACAGATAACTTGTTTTTATTTGTTACAAGTATGTAATGTTTTGTCGTAAATAAATGCAGGAATCACTTGCACTAGTCAGACTTAAACTCTAATACAGGCTCAAGAATCACTAGCAACACCTCTGAAGAGACACCAAAACTTGCAATTGTCACTGATATTAAAATTATGTTCCTACATTGCTACTGTGCTGTTGATGCTTACATCTAAAAGGATGAATTGAAGATGTGTTTTATTATGTCTCTTTTTAAGCAAACATGAGGTTGTTCAACAGTAAACATCTGCAGTCAGAAGTTATTCTGAAGAGCTTAAAAAAAAGACTGGAATAATACAGTTTAAATATGGGTGCTTTCATTTTTTGCTAATTGAAGAGCGGAATAAATCTAAAAGTCAACTTCTTCATAATCACCAACCTCATCTCCAGAGTCTTTTTGTGAACTCATTAGGGATAACTGATGAAGTTCCCAATCAATATGCAGATTAGGAGCAAATCAATTTGTTTTGACTCTGCCATCATCATTATTTCTTTGGTGCAAAGCAATCCTGCTGCAATGCCTGGGTGAAGTGTCAACAATACAGACTTATTCAGCAGTAAAACTCACTGAGACATGTTTTGTTTTTGTTGTTGTTTTTTTTAAATAAAATATTAGGTTTTGGTAACAATTTCTATGAGAGAACACATTTAAAAGTATTTTCCTATTAGCATACATATTAGTAGCATATTGGGTCTGAATGACTTGACAAAAAGGCATTTTGATAAACACAGTAAAAGTGATAGCCATCAAAGAAGAGAGAGTATATGTGCAGGAAATCGAAAGGGAGCAGTTGTGACTGTCTTTTAAAAGGTTTATCTAGAAACTTGGGCTTACTTTGTTGGAAAAGAAGCTCACAATACCACCTTTCTGTGATGCAAACAGGTTAATTATCTCTTTATTGAAGTCAGAGGATTTTTGGGTCAAGTTCCTCACATTAGACAGTGTACCCAGTGTAACAGCGTGCATTCAGTCTTTCTAGTGCCATAGTACTTCAGAGGAATGACTGAATTCCTCTGAGCGGGCTCAAACACTGGTCTGTCAATGTCATGGGGAGTAGGGTGGTTATTTGTGTTCATGTCTGTGCCAGAAATGCTCAGAAGATTATTTTCAGTCAGTGAACATCTGGTTTTCTTTATCTTTATTTTTTGGTAGCTATATGTTTTTTGTGATGGGAGTTGTGCTGAATTCATGTTTCTACCCCCAAAACATGGGACTTACATTTACTAAAATGTAGTAAATATCAGCTACTTCCTGTGAAGTAAACATGGGAAAAAAAGAAATTAATTCTTAGCTACTGCTATTAGCCAGCCTTTACTATGAAACTTGTGATTATTTTTCCCTTGTGTTATATGAAGGATGAGTCCTCAATGTCTTAACTTGTATTTCCTTTGACAAATGATAATGTAATCTACCTTTTACACACTATAATATCCACAATTTTCAACTTTGCTCACTTTTCTGCCCACTAATTTGGTACTGTAAGTTTCACCAAAGATAATTAAACAGCTGAAAATGATCTTATTCTATGGGACTCTATCATTGGAAGAGCTTGTCCCTGTTAGCTCATTCATGCTTGCTTTCATGTAGAAGACAGTGCCGTTAAAGAATTTGGGGCAGGATCAGTTTTGGATGTTTTTGGTATACGCAAACTGCTAAAAATTAAAAACCAAACTATGGCTGAGAAAGCAGGGCAGCTGTTGAGTAATCAAACCCTGGCAATGTCCTCAGTGTTCAAAATACAGTAGATCCTTAGTTAAAAGTTTTGGGACCTTAGTGTCACATTATTAAAATAACACAACAAAGATTTTTTGTTACAGTAACACACACTTTATGAACATGCATATCACAGAAGCTAACATGTATCTAATTAAAATTTTACTTAATACTCACCGTAATCTGCTTCTACTGTCTTCTTTTTTTCTCTGTGTCCTTTAGGTAAAATGAAGGTTAACTTTCAGCAGGTCACCAAAATACTGTGATTATGTTACAATTAGTTTGAATGTTTGGTCCTAAAATCCTGTCAAACACAGTGGGTTGAAAACACATGTAATAAAATGATCAATATTATTCATCACAGATTTAGTCATTAGTAAAAGTGTTCAGTCATCTATCAGGCAACTCAACACAATACATTCCTGTGTTCTTTGGGATGTGGAGGTATCTGCAGTCTCTGTCTGTACTGCTAAAGTTATTAGCTTTATTATCAAAATTTTAGAGCTGGGTTGTGTATAGCTATAATGTTACAAACAAACACTGCATGTATTGTGTAATAATAGCTTGACACAGTTCCTTCAGTGTTGATTTATTTGATACACATGCTTACTTGGCTAATAAAGAGACTATTGGTTTGACTAATGGGACATAAATAAAACTGTTTTTTTTTTCTGCTGTGACTCAACAGCTTGTCTTTATCAGCAGGGCTCCTCAAGAATATACACCCCCCTGCACTGAAGGTCTGTCTCCACCCCTGCCCCTGGTCTTTTGTTCATGCCATTTTGGGATGAAATTTTTTTGTCCACAAAGCACGCCACTTTCATGCAACAATTTATCTTATGTTTTGCTCTAGCACCAAACAGAGAAAGAAAATATTATCTATATGGATCAAATATATTTTATGTAACCAGAAAAATCATCCTATTTAGTGTACTATGCAAGAAGACTCATTCAACCCTTCACACTCAAAACTGTGTTATCTACATACTATTCATATTTTCAAAAGAGGGAATGAAAGCCTTTTTCTGTTTCAGTGGGTACAGACATTCTTTTTTCACACACACACACACACACACACTCACACACACACACACACACACACACACACACACACACACACACACACACACACACACATATACATACATATATGTATTTGTGTGAAAAAAAAAAAAAATTGACAGATATGCCATGACAGTCACAACACTGAAATTTATATAAAAATGCCAAATATATCTGCTATTTTCCAGCCCAATTATGACAACACTTTGCCAGTACAGTATTTACAAACGGATGCAGCCTGGCCAATATCCTTGGAACAATTACAGAGTCAAGCTCCTCGAAGCAACACTCCAGAACCTCAGCGACAGGAATACTTTGGTTTAGAGTCTACCACTCTCAACCATAGCTTTCAGGTATCCTATTTTGGCCGGGAAAGTACCGTATTTTACAGTACTTTCGTAAAATATGATATATATATATATGTATATATATTTATACCTTGGAAATTTATTGAATCAAATCCTATCATAGGTCTCACATTTATATCTACAGCCCCACAGCAACTCCCACTGGATTGAGGTCTATTTTTTTCCTCTTTATTTCAAGTTCATTTTTTACAAAATTAAGTTTTAAGAAAATCTAATATTTTATTTATTTGTGCATTTTTTAATTCTTGGAGACATTGGTTGGTCCATTCCAAGGTTGCAATACCCTCTTTTTTTCTCTAAATCCTCTTTGGTTTCTATCCTCAGAAAACAGCAGTACCATTAATTTCACAAGGACTTGCAAATCATTTTTGACCTTTATTCATCTGAATCCACAAAGCTGAGATATTTGATGTTCAAACTAATAAACTGTTTTTGTTAGCAAATATTAAATTTGACTCTTTTGTTCCAAAAAAAAAAGAGGTTCAGAGGGAACTAAAGTGTGGGAAAATATACAAATGCTCAAAATCACTTGTTTGGATCATTCCACAGGTTAGCCAGAAATGGGTGAGGGTCATGATTGGGTAAAAAAAGGAACATCTCTTAAAGGCTCAGTTGTTTACAAGCAAGAATGGGACCAGGGGTCCGTTTCACGTAGCAGGTTTAATGGAAACGCAGAGTCTGTTAACCCTGAAATCAGGGAAACTCTGAGTTTTCCGTTTCACAAAGGAGGGTCAGTTAAACCAGGGAGAGAGGGGTAACTCTAACCTGTTTCACAAAGAGAGGTAACTCAACCTCGCGGTCAGTTACCATAGTAACAGACTCCGTGAACCTAACCTGCTCGGGACCAGGTTTAACTCAGTAAACCCAGAGTTTCAGGTGAGACATCGGCATTTTCTCATTTTGATCATGTTTTACATTGTCAAGTAAGTATTAAGTGGCAGTTTGATCCCTTACAAAATGCTCTTTTCACACTCAAAAATGAATTTTACTCTCTTATTATGTTCCGTTAAATGATTAGGAATATTATACTAACACAGACTTTCACTCAGCAAACAGAAAGAGGGCAGATGCCAGAAAAACGGGTGGTGGGCCCAGCAGCCCCACCTTTAACGGAGGAAGAGTAGCTGCCCCCCCCGTTCGACGATCGTGGCCGGTCCGATCGCAAATCCCCCCCCCATGTTGCACTGGCAAATGGAGTCCCGTTGGCTGTGCCGGTGCAATGTGAGGACCCGATGCCCGGAGAACTCTGTCTGGAGTCTCCACAAAGGTGCTGAACAGAGAAGACAGGACCTTATCAATGGATTCTGACATGTAAAGTATAAGTTTAGAAAGTGCTCTTGCTACTTAGTCAGTGATAAAAATCCAATAGAAATCCATAAAAATGTGCCTCAGGGGCAGCAACACACCGTTTGGTGATGTTAATAATTATATTTGTTCAGCCTCTGTCAGACTCTCCAGTCCGCTCTACATTACAAAGACGCAACAAATTAAAACTAAATACTTTCAATATTAGGAGCAATGTACCCTATGTCATGGCAATGAAATATATGAGGCATATATGAGATATTAATTTATCATCACAAGCAACTTATTGACTAATGATTTATTAAAAACTGCTCCAGACAGAAGTTTTCTGATCTGCTTTTATACCAGTTTTGATGCTTCCAAAGAGAAAATCCTTGTTAGTTTCCACCACAGACACAAGGATATCCACTTTCAGCTTGGAAAAGTTTCAAATCTTATTATATATTTCTCCTCTTTCATGTTTGACCTCAGTGGGCGAGGCTTCTGAACCACGAATATTTAAGGGTGTAAACATGGTGATGATGATCGATTTCAGCCGCCGCATTTATCAAGACCCGATCATATGTACGCTGGGATTGGTCAGATACAAACCCTTTAATAAATCTCACGCATGTCCTATAGTACGATGAATCCTGCGCTCAGATCTGCGCAAGCTTGATAAATGAGAGGCATTGTGTTTTGTCCTTATTCTTGATTTTGTAATTTTCTGATTTCTTTGATGTTGGAATATAGAGAAATAGACTGTGGCATTTCTAAACCTGAGTTTTAAACATTGTGGTTTGATAATTTCCTGAACCTGCAGCCATTACCCCAACCAATATCATAATTATTGTTGCAATAGAAGTGTGTTGGAAGCGGACTGAGGATTACCAATTCAGACACTAAAGTCTGTAGCTCCTTTATAGTGACAGTTTGTCTCTGAATTAACTTCCGATCAATTTTCAGTGCTTATTACAATGTGAACTGTGGAAGTCACTTTGTACTACTTTTGTCATGTTAGCATCTAAATTACTTATGTACAATTCTAACTGTGACTTAATTTGTAGTCCTTTTCTTCAAAAAGTTCCCAAAATGTTTTTACAGTTAATAATATTGTGACCAGCAATGAGCATACTTAACTTGTCCAAATTCAGTAAATGTATTTATTGTCATATTTTTCTCAACAGAGCACAGTCACTGAGGCCCACAGTTTAATGGAACAAACTGTGATGGGAGTATATATTGCAAGGAAGGAGGGTGGAGAGCCTGGAGATGACCCAGAAGACATTGGTGTCCTTATTGGAGGTGTTCAGGTCCTCAGTGTGTTGAGGGACATTTGGACTGCTTGTGCTTTGATTTTTGGACTGATATACTGTTTGAACCTGAGTTACCCACCAGAACTCAGTTGTACCTTTGAAGTCCTGCAGAAGATTCTAATGAATCTGGATGGGTAGAGGTTGTCTGCCAAAGCTCAATTTCTAAAAAACAAGGGACAGAAACCTTTGGCCAAATCTGTGCGAGGCAGATTTTTTTGTGTGCAGTGCAATGTTAATTTGATTCTGTGGCCTATGTTCTTATTTGCCAATTTAACATGGTCAGTTACATAAATGGACCAAAGGGTCAATGGGGGTGGATGGCTCCTCTCTCTTTGCTGCAGGACAGAAAGATTCAAAAGATTATTTGTACCCACAGCCATCAGACTTTACAACTCTTGCATAAATAGTAGATGATTTTTTGAGACATGACAAAAGAGACTAAGAGACAATTGAATTTCCCTTTGGAGATCAATAAAATTCTTCTTTATCTTCTTCCTCTTTTTAGAAATGTCATTATCAGCTTTGTGTTAAGCATCTGCAGATGCACAATCCTGATCCGATACTTGTATTTTCCTAAGTGATAGTGAGTGCTGTACACTATTTCTTAATGTTGTTTTCTACATAAATAGATTAATTAATAAATAATGATCACAAAATAACGAAATGATGTCTTCAACTTGTTTCATCTTACTAGCTGACATTGTTGTAAAACTCATATGTATAGTAATTTGTTTTACAAGCTCAGCTGTACAAAAAACGCATGTCGTATGGCAAACATTAAACATTGCTGTGAGCACAACTTCGTGGAGAGGTTATGAGATTCACCATGGGGATTCCAGACTGCTAGAATAAAAACATAAATATTTGACATTTGCTAAGCTTTCCTTTGTTATTCCTTTGTCCCTTCATTTATATTTCATCACAAACCAGATTTTGCTATCAACTGACCAGATCACTTTAAACTAGAAAGCAGAGGAATCAATTCAGTATGCTATGCGGCTCAGCAAGGACTTACAAATGTAAGAGCTCTACATGTCTGCTATACAACTGCCATGCTTACATTTACATCATGACCCTATTCTCTGTAAGACACAGTTCAAGCTCGCTGCAAAGCTCAGTGTCAAAGAAAAACATCTACTACTGTATAAACTACCTGGAACAATTTGGACTCATAATATGAACTGCTCAAAGGTACTGTGCAGCATGAACTATGGCTTACAGGCCCATTCATTTCACAAATTAGTTTCTTCACAGGATTATGCAATTAGAGAGGTCACAGTTACAGAATGGGAAAGGTAAGAGGTCAGTGAAGGATAGTCAATTGGTCACTCTCATCTCTTACCTGCTTTCAATACTGTTGTGATGAGTGTGACCTTTCCTTGACCCCAATACTGTAATGGTTGATTTATTATGCAGAGAGCCTACATATAGAGGTAACACTATAATTGAAGTGTATTTCTTCACTGTGTTGCGCTTTAGGCTACTCACAAATAAGGTACTGCAGTGAACAGTGTCACATGTGAGTGGGAACACAGCCCAATTAAGCATTTATTGCATTGAAGCTACCTAGCAATTACTGTATTTTGCCCTGCTTGCACTTTATGCATCAAGAGTTAAAGCACAAAGGGTACAGCCGATCATTTTCATTACTGTGGGATCAATTAAGTATTTTAACATGAATAACGAGCCCCTTGGCCATATATTTTATGCTGTGTGTTCAAAATGTCAAAATTTGTTTATTTTTTAATGAGAGGTTAGGGCCAGAACTGTAGCAATGTAATCTACTGCATATTGTTTAATCCATTGCAGATTGAGGATGGCAATACATCACATACTGTACTTCATATAAAGCAAAGCTCAAGTGGTGAAATTACTTCTCATTGTGCTTTGTAGAGGCATCCATTGTTTCTGTGCTCTTATGTTAAGAATATTTTATGGCGATAAAATGTCTCAGCCTGTCAATACTCAATACTTGCTGTTTTTGCCCATAACAACTGAAACTAAATTCTTAATCATGGCATGCTGGAGCTCCATTTATTCATTTTGTTGTGCATGCAGCTACTGTCTACAGCCACTTACAGAAAAAAAAAAAAACATTATGGAAGTCTTTTAGCCACTCTAAACTCACTCCATACTGCACTCAGGTGTCTGAGTGCTCGTAATATACAAATATATCCTATCCTTATGGGTAAAACCAAGGAGAGATCCATCAGTACAACTAGCAATTATGAAAAAAAGAAAATGTAATACCTTTGCACTCATATAAAAACCCTGTGCTGTTTGAATACAAATTGCAAATCTGTGCTAAATCAATATCAATAAATTGATTGATTCATGATGGCTGATGAAGAGCATCTAAGTCATGTTGTCTGGAGTATAAGCATGTTATAATCTTGTAAATAATGCCTTTTGATATATTTTCAAAAAACATTTGATCAAAAATTGAAACCTTTCAGGAGGAAAACTTTTATAGCATATATAGTAAATATTGAAATAACGTAGCAATGTGACTGTTAAATAAGTGTCATACTTAGGGCTCTATTTTCATGCCTGCCAGCGGTGCAGCAGAGGGTGATGCACTCTGTGCAGTGGTATTTTAGTACAGTGCAGCCCGGCGCACAGCCAATTTGGTTTTTTTGTACACTGAGGCACACCAAGATGCACCAAGCTTAGCGTGGCAACGCGATGGGGGGGTGTCGACAGAATCCGCTGGCCCAGTGACATTTTCATGAACTGAAAGCTTGCTGATTCAAATCTGGTCAGCTTTCGGCACAGGCAGGGCGCAGCTGGTCAAGTGGTATTCTGGTAGACCAGCACAGCAGTGCACACATGTCACGAATGCCTTACAGGCAGGTTTCCACAGTGTCAGGCACATTTCAGTAAAATTAATAATCATCAACAACCACTATTCAGTGCAACTATCTATCAGCACATACATTTAGATCTATATCGATATATTCTGATCTATATCTTATCTGATCAACGCTTTTGGCACTCTCATCCTAAACGAATGAACACAGCTGAAACTGCATTAAATAAAATATCCAATAATTAGTCATACATGATGGAGTAAACAAGATATTTAATTTATGACCCTTTCCTCTTCATCTTCCTCCTCTTCCTTGCCCAACCGGACCCAGAAATGTTGCCGCGTTCTGCGGCAAGGCTGACCAGATGATTTTAGAGATCCAATGAGTGTTTAGTTTGAAAATATGAACAAAACAATAAAAGATACTTTCATTCAAAACAAACCTTTTATCTTATGTTTTCACATTCTTAAGTTCTGTAAAGAAAAAGCTCGGCCACAGAGCATTATGCTCCGTGGCCCACAAATGGTGGTTTTGATTTTAATGCCTTTACGCATGGCATTTGTATGTTGTGATCTGTGTGTGCAACCCACCTTTGTCTCGTGAGGTTTAAATATATGCA